GTTACGCATCTACCATGTATAGTTATAAGGAAAGGAACCTTTGTTGTTACAGTATCTATACAATAATTGAAAGGTCTGTTACGTACCTAGATAAGTTATAAATATAAGTATAATAAGCAAATTACAGATTCCAACATAAAAATTATATAATGTAAAAGAATTAATCATGTATGTCAGATATACATGATTAATTATTTTACATTGCAGAAATTTACACATAACATTAGATAAATCTTCCCTAATTACAATAATAAAGTTTTAATTTATTTTTTTAATAACTAGCTGACACCCAAACGTTATTTTGCTATAAATTAAATGCCATAAATTAAAATCGCTATTAAAAATATGGGTTGGTGATAAAGGGTGAAAATATAGGGTATGTATTTTAGTATTGCCATATTATAAAAAAATACACATTATCCAAATACTAAAAATAAAATATTTGAGCTGGAGAACCCTTATAATTTAGGGGTATGAAAAATTTATTCACCGACTTACTTAATTTGCATATAAAATTTCATAAAAATCGGTCAAGCCGTTTCGGAGGAGTATGGTAACTAAAATTGTGACACCAGAATTTTATATATAGGATAGTATTTTTTAGACAGTAATAATCTATATGTGTTACAATTCATATGAGCGATTTTTGAAAATGAATGATTGATTATTTAAAGGCAGTTTTCATATTTTTATCAGTAGTTAAGTTTTATAACATAACATGTTTGCGATCATGCCCGTGTAAGTATAATAAATAATGGTAGGATTATAATATAATAGTGTATGTTATATGTGAGAGTATATATCTCACACATATAGTATGTATGTGAAATATTAGGTAATGAAATTGGAATGTATTGCAGACTGATTTCTGAATAATTGATAAGTGGTTATGATAAATTATTAAAAACATGTTTAATCCTTTTTGTCATACTGTAAGCTGTTATTAGTACAATAATACTAATAAAAAATAATAATAATCACATATTGGGGGATTATATGTTCTCAAAGTCTTTATGAGGTGCAAATGAAAATTGATTATTATTGATTATTTCTAAAGCAGGTGTAGAAGATAAAAAAAAATGCATTCTTGGCCAATGACAAATTGATGGATTGGTATTATAGTACATTATTATGTTACATACTGCTTGATATGAAAACGTAGTTTGATCTTCGTAGTTCATTTCCATATTTTTATATGGAAATGAAAGGAAGATATCCTCGATTCGATAGTAACTTATTTTTAGATTAGTACTTTGTAGAGACGTTACGCAATATCTTATCAGTATTACATTTGAAAAGGATTGCGATGGTTCTTTTTGTAATCAATGAAACCTGTGAGGTCTCATATAAATATTATTTATATTATATTATATATCATTATAAATATTATATTAGTCCTTGTTTGTCCGGATAGAAATAACAGAAAACGTTGATTTCAGTAATCTGAATAAAAAATATGACAATTATAGATGAATATATATTACATTATCAGCATAGAATCTTCACACAGATAGTAACCTAAATACGGACTCATTTTTTTCTAAGATAAATAAACCCACCCATGGTAAGACGTGACGGGCTGCATATCAAACGCGAACTCGAGGATAAAAGCAATTTAAATGGAATATACTTTGTATCCCATAACCGGTAAAAGCTCGGTGTGGAAGGTTGTGCGTGATTCCGTCACGCGGCTTGTTAGCGACGTGATCGCTTGGTAATGAGAGTTGTGATGGCTGAGCCACCTCGTGCCACATACTAAGCATTACCAGGAAACGCCGAAACCATTCGTGGGAGTCATCCAATTTCGGCACCTTCGGATTAAATTGCCCGTATCAAATGTCGAACGATTCCAAAATGCTTGAATGTTTGTAATTATGCTACTGTAAGAAAATGGAAGGTACTATATGATCTATACGTACGTATTTAGATATATAGACGTCGTGGTTTTCAGTATAACAATACTTAAAAACTTTTTTGTTTATAAATCAATTGAAATAAAACATATATATTTTAACCGACTTGAGTGCTCTTTTTACTAATGTGCAAAACAGTACTAACAACACACAGTCAGTTAAGCTGTTTTCGAGATTGCGTGCACAAAAAAACGTTTTGGGTTATATTATGTAGACAAAGTACGCTAGTAACTTTTTCTTATACAAGTATATTTTCCATGTACAGAAAGTGATCAAGTAATTGTATGTATGTGACTGCGATAAATATAGTTGTAATGAATACATGACAAAACACATTTTTGTATTTTTATTTACGGAGACATTACGAGAGGTGAATATATGTGTATATAATCTGCCTATCTGCCTACGGCTTTTTGCGTAGCGGCAAACCTAATGGCATAGCTGATGATTTTGATAAATGGATGTGGAATCAATTTTAATTGCTGGAATGTGGTGTCAGTTTTGCAATGACTGTGTATTGTAGTTGTAACAACGGAATGTTAATGACTTAATTTTACTTAAAACTTTTACCCGCGACTTTTTTCTCATTATTGGCATTGACAGACATAAGTTTAGATTACTTATATTTCATAAGTTATCAAAATCCTTGGGACAGAGATACCTGTGTACAAATAACTACCTAATGCATGATATAATAGGTAATAAATAAACTAAAACTCACTGTCACAAATATGTTATATAATATATATATAATATTAATAATATCCTTATTATATATATACTGTGGTAGTTATAATAAATAGAACACAATTTAAAATGTGTAAAAATAAATTTACACGTTGGGTTTTTACTGTGTTCAACTAAGTATTTAAAAGATCTAGTAAGCGTTAATGTTATAATTATAAGCTTGATTTTATAGCCGACGGCAATGCTTTTAATGCAATTTGCAATTTGATACAAGTAGTTTGAAATGGACATATCATGTGAGTAAAGCCATGTGTTAAATCTGTTTTTCACGTATTATACCGGTTACTGTGTAATTATCCGTCATTATATTATTTGATAGACAGATTTCTTCGTTTCATTGTATATTCTATGGTTGTATCATGCATTTTATACTGATTTGTAGTACTTAACTGTCTAGGTGCCTATTATTAGATAGTATATTATAGTATTTAGAATTTCTTTCAATGTGTTGCGTGGTATACTTATTGATTTTATGATACATTTTGCAGTTGATTGTGTTGATTTCCGAGTTAGTCCAATTCTGTCTTTGAATTCAAACTCATTAATTAAATGATATTATTTGCGTATGATGATATGATGTTAAAGAACGTCTTAGGTTTTTACGAACTGATATTATGGTTTTTAACCTTTTAAGTTGATTCTACTAATTTTATTGTGAATTATTTTATTTGAAGTAGGCACAATGAAGTAATAACAACTGAATTATTATTATATTTTTTTTAAACAATATGCTTACAAAAGAGTATACGGTTATAATCTTCTTACTATATAAAGTATGGCACATGCTCAGTCATTCTATAATAAATGTGACGGAACTCATCGTATAATAAAATCTGTAGTGAGACAAACACTAGTGAGTTTTATTATAATTATTATTATTACTATTATGATTACTATTTAATTTTGTAGGGTACTGGAATGACAAACACGATAATGGCACACTTGATGATAAGTGATAATAATAACACCAGCATAGACATCACTTCATTGTGTGAAACCCGTTAGACTACTTATGGATTCACATTCCAGATAATAGAGATGCTATGCCCCCATATCCTCTAATTTCACTGTCTTATCTCTCCCTTTAGAAAGATTAACCTTAGATAGTAACCAATTGAAGGTATTGTAACAAAATATTTATTAAGTATGTTTAATTCTATACGAACCTATGTACACACTATATTATAAGTTACATACGATTTTCTTGTAATTTGGGCAAGCTTCTCAACATTGCATATTATGTGTGCATTCCTGAGTAAGGTATAATGCTAGTGTAAGGTACTATTTGCTTTGCATCATGCTCGTAAACGGAGCATAGCTCTCAAAGCGAGGTACCTTCATGGCGGTACGAATAAGACTATTTATAATATAGTTTATTTATAATATTATAAAAACTATCGCCATTTGACACGTTGGAAGATAAACATCACAACATTTGATTTTAGTAGGCTTAGCCATTCAGACGAATAGCGTGAACGAATATTGTTATAATGCATTTTTGAAAATAGTTCATAATATGGTTGAATTTATTTGTGTACTAAGTTGCAAACTGTTTAACAAAAAACATAACATCAAAACATAATGTAGGTAACTGAAAAATAGTGACGTAAAAGAATAAAATGACACTAATAAATACCATTTACGTGACCAATTCCAACCGAAAACACCGAGTTAACCTCCACTTAAATTTCTTTAGAACACGTCAAAGTTCAAATGCTCGTTTTGAATTCTTATTAGACTGTCATCATACGATCCGTGCAATTTATCATCATTTGAATGACAACCATAATTAACTTGTCCTTACCTTGTACATTGGCTTTATGGGGCTCAACCCAATTTAAAGGAATTTGTGTTACACCACTGTCGAACGTGACATAAATCAGAGGAGGGTTATGATTAAAGCTTTTTTGTAGGTTTAGCTGTTTATGCATAGTTTCTAAAACACATATCACATTTCGTAAATAATATTATTTGACTGAGAGACATATTATAAGGAAGTTAACATGGCAATTTTCCAGTGAGTTCTTAAAAGGGTTAGTATACTCCCTTAACTATGGTCTCTGGTACGTATCTGTCCAAAGCAATTAATTTAAAACAAGTATAATAAAATAATAACATATTATATTTAGTGATAACAATAACGTGTAACTGATTTACTTTTACTGTACTCAGACAAAATAAATCTACATATTCGATTAGAATTTTAAATTAGACTACAAAATTACACTATATATATTACGTTATGACTATATGAACTATAATGATACTAACAATAAATATTGCTTTTTTAAATCTTTAATTTCAATCAATTCTAAATATCCTTTTCTCTTTTTTTACCAGGAAGAAGAGGCAAAGCTTCCCGTAGTGCCCAAATGCTGCGCAAGCGGCCAGAACATCAGTTCAATATTACAGTCAGATGGCACTCTGAAGTCGGTGTGTTCAAGGACCACGTTGACCTTCCAGCCTCTATTCTATAAATCCAACGAATCCTTCATGTGGAGTTTCGATACGAATGTATACGAGACAATCGTCGGCAATCCCTGCACCTACGACAGGTCTTTGTGAACATGTAACTGTTTTTTAATTAACGTCCAAGTTTTAATTATCAAAATTCCGAATTTAAATATTTATGATATAAATAGCTGTGCCTTTGGTTTCGCCCAAGTGAAATTTGTATGTTATTCTGATGTATAAGCTATGTTGCTGTATGTAAGTCTCATCATAATCCGTTTAGTACTTTTTGAGTAAAAGAGTAAAAATATGCATCCATACTCACAAACTTTCGCGTTTATAATATTAATAATTTCAATTATGCAACAGAAAATGAATTTTAGTTATTAGTATTGGATGAAAATAACTTTTAGTGTCTTCAAATTTTAAATCAATGAACATAGCGAATTTTCTAACAAGCAACACAGTACATTACCAATCTTTTTTATCCCCAAAATATCGTAATAGCGAAGAGGGGAAGTAAGAAAACAAATTCTGGCGTGTTCATTATAGCAAGCTAGAATAGTTGTGCTTGGTTATGTGGAAAGCTGTATGTCTAATAGTGAGACAATACTGGGTTATTATCATAACAACAGTTGTATTTCCTTGTTATTGTAATAAATGTGATGTTCTTAGAATTCCATTAAGAACTAATTTTTTTCAAATAATGAAAATATTTTATACATTTATAGATAAATGTATCAAAGATTGAAATTACTGAATGAATATATTTTTTTAATTTCAGATATAGATTGGAACCAGATAAGTTAAGCGTAGACGAGTTTTACCTATTAGTAAATGGTTCACTCTTCGTTCCGTATGGCAGTCCAGTACTGCTTGGGAACAGAGAGTTTTGTATGGAGACATTTTGGAATGAATCTAATCCGGCCGGGGTTACATTACCATTAGTTTGTTTTACAACTGCTGCTGCAGAATCCAGCGGTAATACCACGCTGATCGTTTATGCTATAGGTAAGATTCTAATTATAAAATGCACTATTTACATATTAAGGTTTACACAGTTTAACTTAGATTTGAAATAGTAATACTTATATTTAGAATACGTATACACTGATATATTCAATGATATATGAAGAATTTTTAAATTTTAGGGAGCCGCCGTCTTTGCTTTTTGGATTTCGGTGTCCGAAAATCTGAAACATAGAGAAAATCATTATTTCAGGTTGTAACTGAAATTATGTTTTTTATGTATAATGAAATTAAAACCAAAATTGAATTTCATCAAATCTTTATTTATGTAGTTCAGACGGTATATAACTATAACGGGCGGTTATATCTCTGCCAGGTCTTCACGTAGTTTCTTTTAGTTTTCAGCACAATTCACAAGAAATTCGATTGTTATTCTTTCAAAAGATTCTTCATCGTAGTAATTACCATTCATATATATATAAATAATAGAAATAAACAATTTCTATAAAAAAGACTGTAGGTACGATTCATTTCATATAACAGGCCGATAAAACTGTCACAATTCCTATTAAATAGAGCTGGATAAATAAATGTGTGAACCCCAAGCCCTTAGTACTGTAGTTATAGGACTACATGAGGCCGGCTATGGCCAGCGTTATAAATATTGTATAAAGTATCGTCTCATATTTATAGACAATGGTTATCACTTTTAAGCAGGTGTGGTGTTCGTCACTATTTTATTCTAATATTAAGTAGATATAAAATGTTTACATACCATAGACAAATATTACACATGGACAAAATCTTTTGTTAAAATGAAGTAGTAAACTTAAAACATTTTTGTTCCACACAAACTATAACTAACAAATGGTTCGTTACTTTTCTATGGAAGAAAGTATGCTATATTATATGAAAATATATTTATCGGTAGCAAAAAGAATAATCGAAATCTATGTATTTTGGAATTGTCGAAAACTACGCTTAAAATAGATTCACAAAGAATATTCCGTCCAATTGAGAACCTTTGTATGTTGGCAGTCAGCTGATATAATAAGCACTCGCCTGGATAATAATAGTCGTATAGAAAATGTGAATTATATATAAGAGTTTAGAGTAGTTCTACGAAGATACTAATCCTAAGTTCTCTTCTTGTAATAAGTAAATTACATATAACAAGAAATTGTTCTATTACTGCTTGGGAATGAATAACGCTTGCCTCTAGCTACGTACACGCTCTCATCTGTGTTATGGATTAACGCTCTTGTTGTCTTACGCTAAAAGGAAGCATGGGCTCGTGTGTTCACATACTCAGGAAGTTTATAGTTAACTAATAATTTGATATCCAATTAGTGAAATGATAGTGGAGTGCGTAAAATCCACTATATTTATAAGGAAAAATAGAGTTAATATATAAATTTGTTGAGTAATTTATCTATGCATTTTGGCTTATCTGGATATATTTAGGGACATAAGTTGTTAGGACGAATGAGGGGTTAAATGCTATATTAAAATAATTAAGAGAATACAATAAATTGAATAGAAATAATTAGGATTTTTTTGTAATTGGAATAGCAAACCAGCTGACAGACTATGAACGTCATGTTATTATATGACTCCCGCGATACCACTCATCCAGTTTAGCTCTACCAGTTGAAGTTCTTGTCAGTTTTTATTAATTGGAGTAGCTAGCTGAACAGGATGGTAGGGATAGTGACTAATAATTTACATGTATAAGTGACCGAAAGTATTATATAGAAGTATGTATAAATGAACAACTTTGACCTTTATTTATTAAATAATAAACAATTTACACACACATTTGCTGAAATTATTTAAAAGTAACTTTGATCTTCATTGCGTAATTTGACTGATGTAAAATTAAGTACTAAATACCTCGACAATGATTATTTAATTAATTTGGTTTTTATATTAAAACTAGCCACTCGTTCCAATTCACAAGAATGCATTAATAAACTTTGAATTTTCCGGTTTATTTGTGTTTCGGTATTATAATGTTGCTTTGCTCTTGAATCATTTTATCTATATTTCTGAAAATTGCATTAAAATCCGTTGCGTAATTGAAAAGATATAAGCCCACAGAGAGCGGCGGCGACATTATTTTATACTATGTAATAAAGATAATACTATTTGTTTTAGGACTACTGACATCGGTGCCGTTCTTATTAGCTACAGCATTTTTTTTTACATACATTGCCAAACTAAGAGACACTCACGGGAAAGCATTGGCGTGTCATACGGTCTGTTTGGCGGTCGCTTTTCTATGTCTGGCTACGACACAATTGGCTGGTCATGCGTTCCCTGTCACAATTTGTACTATTATGGGTAAGTTATCCTGAAATCTTTTACTTACATTTACCTATTAATATATTTTTATTGATAGATTTTAATGATGCATTACAATAGCATCTCATAAGAGAAACTCAGTTAATCTATAACCTTTACTTAACCGTTAAGTTAACCACTTTGGACACTTTCGTAATGAATTACTGGTAAATTCACAATATAGATTAACTGAGTTTCTCTTATGAGATGCTATTGTAATCCATAATCCATAATCTAGTATACCTGTATAGAATAGAATAGAATAGAATTTTATGAGTGCAGGCCACTTTATTTCCGCCGCCCCAAATATATACCTTTCTAAAATAGTAATTTTCATTTGTAGTTAAGAAGACCTCTCATCTAAATTATCGCGTGAGTGTTACGCGATAATATAGGTTTCTATGGGGATTTATTTAAAGTATAAAAAGCTATGAGAAAACAACTGAACGTGTTTGACTTTTATCGAAATCATCTGAAAAATATCTGAAATGGAGTGATCGTCCTTCCTCTGAAATCTAGGATGCTGCCGCCTCTAGGCCGCGGCCTATATGGCCTATTTAAAAATCCAGGACTCATCCATTATACATATTATTCTTAGGATTGTATGAGACTATGCTAATTATATATTAAAAATCTGATTAACATTTTGTTTGGTTTTAGCCTACATGATCCAGTTCTCGTTCATCTCATGTTTTTTTTGGTTGAATGTCATGTGTTTTGACACTTATTTAAATGTTAGGTAAGTTATCTTTATATATATATATATATATATGTAAGTTATAATTGAAAATGTATTTACATACTGTTTATGAATTTTATACATATGTAAATAATTTTTTGTGGGGTTAGTACATTTCCAAATCAGAATTTATGGTATGCCAGTTTTGGAAATCTGCACATCACTCAGATAATCCTAATTAATTGACTTTCTGGGCTACTTTCTAAACTAATTCCAATCCAGTGATATTGGATTACAACGTTATGGCCCTTTTTATTATATTCAATTATATACTAGCATGGATTGAAGTTCATATTTTGTGTTCAATTTAAGTATTACCTGACATTTTTATTAACTTATTCATTTAGTATTAATTATGCATAATACTAAATGAATAAGTTTATTCAAGAATAGTGAAATAAAGGACTGCATTGAAATTGACCGATGTGTACCAATAGCATAGCTCGGCATAGCTTGGTACTAGTCACGTTGTGTGAATTGTCCACGTATTATTATTAAGTAGCATTTAGTATTTATTTTGTTTCTTGATATAGAAATGTAAGATTTTGATATTTACAGACGGTTTATTGTAAGTACAACAGTGTCAAGACGAAGTATGAGGAGACGGTTTGCGTATTATTGTGTATACGCAATGGTACTGCCCATTATCTTACTTATAGTAACTATAACAATGGACTTATCACCAGCTGTTCCTAGCACGTACCTCAAGCCTGATTTTGGAGTCAAAGGCTGTTGGTTCAAAAGTAAGTCTAAATATGTCTAACTCTCTACCATTTCCTTAAAGATGAAATTCGGATTTGTAACGTATGAGAAGTACTGTGATATCTGTGGTGCTGTTTACCATATGTCACAGGAGACAGTTTTTTATGACTGATAATAGAAGTGTGTATACGCCTGCACTAACAGTAAATGATGGCGGAGCTCCAGTGGAAAATGATACCATGAATTTGAAGTCTAGCCAGTTGGCCCATCGTGGTGAATTATCCAGAAATTAATTAAGCAATAGACGGGGGAAGGGGATTGTAAAATGGACTATTATATTCTTGAAATACGATAGTGAATGTTTCATCCTCTACTGGTGTCCCGACGGTGAAAACTGTTAGCGCTGGCGGGTGCACTACACGTTGCTTACTATTAGGTGGATGGTTAACTTGTATGATATTCCCTCTTCTGCCAACGAGACGGGAACACGATAGGCATGACTACTTTAATCTTAAATGTGAATTAAAATATATGTGAAAACATTCTGAATGTTATATAAATATATAAAAATCTTTTTTTTTAGCGGATCAAGCTGCTTTACCATATTTTTACGGACCGGTATCGATCATACTACTCAGTAATATGATTATATTCTTCATCACGTCACGTCAATTTGTTGTTAACTATGATAAATTAAAAGAGACACGTAAGTATTTCACGAACGGTCTACGGATAGTTTAATCTTATATCCAAATTCAAACTATTTTATTAAACAAAGTATTAAATAAAAGTAAGCAAAAATTAGTATCATTTAAAATTTAACATTAGTTACTATATCTATTTACCAAAAACTTAGTATAAAGTCGATTGTATATTGGTTGTATCACAAAATTATTTGGTAGTACATAGACATCTTATTCCTAAAGAATGGAAATAAATGATGTGTGGCAGTAATGTAATAAAAATTACTATACCTATTTTAAGGTAAAAAAAGTATAATTGACGGTTTACTTCGGGCGGGTTTATATATATATTATATTTGTGTAATATATTTAATATAATATAATAAATATTTCTTTTTATGAATATGATTTTTTAGTTAGTTTAAATTAATTAGTAATTAATATTGTGCGTTTGTTTTCCATCAGATTTACCATTAGACAGTACATATACGGAAAATAGTGCGTCAGATGAGTTTGTACATACGAGTGGTGTTATGAGCCAGTCGTTTCCACGTCCGCAGCCGATATCACCACAAGAAGATTATTATAATCAATTCCAGAATAATCGTGAGATCTTGAGGAAATATAAGACAATGTACGTATTACTCTGTACTGTATTTAATAATGGTCTCGTTGGTCCAGCCGTTTAACACATTACTTTATTTCTGATAGGTCGCGGGTTCGATACCTCGCACGGCAGAAATGTTTGTATTCATGAATAAGATTGTATCGGTCTAATTCCATTCCTTCCATATTTCCTTGTTTTCTACATATGATATGCTACTACTACTATTTACGAAGAAATAAATATCTATGTATTTGTATCAGTTATCTAGTATCCATAACACAAGTTTTAGCTAGCATAACTTGGGTCTAGATGGCGCTGTGTGAATTGTTAAAATACATATATTGACAAACATACATAGTATATTAACAAACATTAATAAAAAAAACTATCATTGTAATCCAACGCGGAACATCGAGACAGAGTACCGATACTGGCAGCATTGCCTCTTTGAATGGCCATACTTACCATCTGTCTAGAATCCATAACACAATCTATGCTGAGTTTGAGACTAGATGAACCACGTGGATTGCCCTGAGTTATTGTTATACAATAAGGTTTTTTATACTATTATGGTGGCAAACTAGCATACGGCCCATTTGATGGTAAATGTTTACCGTAGCCTATGGACCCCTGAAACACCAGGGGTACACGTACGCGTTGCCGACCCTTAAGAAAGCTTAATATACTCTTTTTAAAAAACCCCATGCTGTAGTCTCATGAGAAAACCTCGGCAGTTCATTCCATAATCTAAGTGTACGCGGGAGGAAGCTCCTCTGAAACCGCAATGTCGGAGACTACTTAGGTTCTAGCGTGTGGGGATGAATTCCCTGTCGATGGTGAGCGATGCGATGATAATTGGTAGTCGTAGGCATCATGTCGAATAAGTTACCATAAGCAATAATACTAGGAACTTTTGAACAAACTTTATGCTTTGTTCAACAGATTTCGTAAATGCTGCTTATTGTCATTCATAATGGGTCTGTCGTGGGCCCTCGAAGTGATATCATGGGCAGTTGGTGCCGGCTCCTCTGCGGTCTCGGTGTGGTCATTGTTCGACCTCATCAACGCTCTGCAAGGACTGGTCATCTTTGGCATTTTCGTATTACGGGAACCTGTCCGTTCTATAGTTTGGGTAAGTTTTTGTGGAGTTACATTAGAATATTATTATTATAAGAATATTATATAATCGGGTCTTAATACAAATAAGTCTTTCTTTAGTAGAGCGATGTCAATGTCTGATGATTTTGTTCAACCTTCACTAGAACAATCTAGTAACAGACCCAAATATTTTTTTTTAGTGACTACTAAAGATTTTAGAAACTGTTTTTCACTATTATTTTTGTTGTTGTGACCACATCATGTCTCTACGTCGAAACTGAAAATTAAATTATATACCTATAACATAACCGATATTTTAGATTGTAGACTTTGTAGTCACGGAGTCGTAGTCAAACAGAGTAGTTTCTAGTCTTTGTAATATAGACTAGTCCACAGTCTACTATGAGTTAAGCTATGATACTATGATTTATGTACATTTAGTAACATTGTCTGTTTCAATATGACTAACATTTGATTATAAGTCTCCTTGTTGACATTAAATAAACTCAAATTATATTTTTCTGTACAAATATTTAATAAAATCCAATTTCCTCCCAAACAGGAATCTAAACTCTTCAAATCGTGTAGAAGGAAAAACCACGGCTCGCAAGATTTCGCAGGGAATGAGAGGAAAAGCATCATTGGGCCTAGAAAAGGGGACCATGTGTAGTGTGTGGTAAAGTACAATTTTGATAAATCGTAAAATTCAAGTGAAGGCAGAGACTGATTATAGTAACAGTATTATACGTTTGACGTTGGACATGAGTGGTATGATGTCAAATGTTGTCTGTGAGGACATTTATTATTTTATAGCAAACAGAAAAGTATTCGTATATATACAGAAAAGCAAACATTATTGGAAAATTTTATTTTAGGAAATCGAGATAAATATTAAAGATAGTTTTTTCAATAACAGTAATATACCACGGTAGGAAAGTAAACACTTATTTTTAGTTATATCAGTGCGACTTAAATGGAATCTCTATTTTTATTTTTCCATAAAATAGGAGACATTTTCTTAGGTAACCGGTTGATCATAATTGTATTACAGATAGATAAACATTTTTTTAGATAATGAGTATTTGATTGATCTGTGTAACAACTAAACCAATACCTACAAGCATAGATAAAAGAATAATAAATTATTTATGCCGTTAAGGTGAGTTTTGTTAATATTTTCAGATCCTAGATTTTGATATTGGATATTGCTCATATACTAATTATTTGTAATAGGAAATGTAGCGAGAAAACAAAAATAGGTATGTTATTTGTGGTTCTTTATAAATTAATAGTCTGTTTTTAATTAGAAACCTATAAAATAGGTTCGTTACACGTCTCATTATTTTTATCTAATCAAAATTTTTAGAAATTATACTTAATAAATAACTACTGCATTCTATTTAACGACTTATTTAATATCAAACCACTCATTAGTCAACATCGTTAATAAAACGATTTGAAGAAGATAACATTAACAACTTCTTTCATAGTTTTATTCCTGTGATAGCGCCTTAAAATGTTTGAAATATTATTAGTTGTTTTCCTAACTTTATTTGACTTATGTTATTTATTTATTGTCTAGATATAAGGTTAATATTATTTTGTTTTTATAATTGTATTGTTTTGAAGTTACTTTTTATTTGTCATACTATAGATGGTACAACATTTGCACTAGAGTTGGTATAGAAAATGCGAGTATTTGATATGTAAAAGTGATCTAGAATACTGCATTTATTGGAATTAAAAATTCTTCTATAAAAAAATAGTGTATAATAAGATAATGTTTTAGTTATATTTACTTCTTTTAAATTTATTTTATATGAACAATTGAGCCGTGTAAGGCAACTCTAGTTTGAATGTCACATCGTCTAAAGGCTTGTTACAGCTATGGTTGTTAATAGTAAATATAAGAAAATAACATATTTTTGTAATTTAGATAAAATACGCATGACCAAGAGGTTAGAGATAAAATTAAGATAGTAGTAGACAGAATACTGTACACAATTTCAGAATGTTAGACCAACACATGCATACGTGGACTTAAATCATGGCTATAATAAAAAATGAGAACAGAGTCACGTATATAATGTCCTACTGAATAATTAAATATACTTTGTAGTTTCTTCTAACTTTGTGTTCAACTTTCTATAGCAAAACAATAATTACTTTGATTCAAACTTGTCCATTGTACTATTTTCTGAAGACAATTATTAAAAAAATAATTGTATTTATAATACTTACTGTTGTATTTTTTAAATAATACATAATAAAGTCGATTGAATTCAGGTAGCAAATATAAATATATATAATTAATTTAATAATATGTGATTGTAATTAGTTGGTACGCGCTTTAAAAATTTTTCTTATTATAAAGAAATTGTCAGGAAGAAAGTAGTCAAATGAAAAGTTTAATCTACATTGATCAATAACTTAGAATACAAATTTTATTATGGCCTACATTTTAATTTACAAAGATGAAAGGATATGCCAAACAGCATGTGTAGTGTAGTAATCACTTAATGGCTATGATACATATAAAAGCTTCATTTGCCTGGAGGTTGGATTGAAATAAGAATGGGAAAATACGGAATATTATTATGTAATATAATGAATTGAAAATGGTCTCTACATATTCAACTATGTGATAGTTTCATTATCGATGGTTATAGATAAACAACTACAGTTTAGAAAGTGTTAGACATGATCATAAAAGTCAAGTACTATTGTAGATTGAAACAGACATAAATTCTAGACTTTGTCGCACGCAGTAAGTGTATATTTCGTATATTCCCTTTTTCGTTTCAATATAGAGCCCAGATAATTGTCAGATATATTGATCAGAAAATTTTGCCAGTCAAACGAAGGGTCGTACTACAGTTCAAGCCCATTGTAAACGCACCCAGCACACTCTTGAGGTTTAGTACATAATTAAATAACCAGCTACAAATTGCAAAGTTCCATAAACTTAGACCAGTTGGCGCTAGACAAATTATGCTTTCTTTAAAGTTAAATATATGGTAAAATGTACTATTTTTGAAACATTAACTACTAATATTGTCAAAATGCGATTTGCATTTTTATTTGTGTGCGCCGGTGTCAAATTTCTTCTGATAATCTGTAGGTGGGCTGGCCTTACGCCAATATGCGATAAGTGGATGTGTATGTGAGAACGAACTGTGACGAATTGGGTGCTTCAATTATTCATTACGCCCGATGTTTAAATATGGAGACTAGTGACGAAGACTAGACAGAATGTCATTCAGATACTTTTTTTCTGATTCAATGTTATTATATTTTAATCATGGTGTTTCTCGTACTGCTTATTTACAGAGGCTGTACTTTATATTAGATGTTCTTTTTGCATAAGTTTGCATATTGACGTTAAAATAGCACGATTAAAGCCGGCTCGAAACGATTACAAATTAATCGTAGCATAGACCGAAATAATAATTAATAAATACAAAATTTTTTATACCTTTTTTTTAAAACCTTTAACTTTTTGTTAAATTAAATATTCATTCATTACAATAAAATCATATATGGTATTGTGAATATTGTCAAATTCTTTTTTCCCCTCACTAGAGTACATCAGTACTGATTACATCAGCAGGTAAAAACGTAACTTGATCAATACATGGACATTAAACATTTTGAAGAAACGAAAGCAAATTGATGCATATTAGGTATGTAAATCACAGACGGTTATTATGGAATTTAATATGCAAATCAGACTTTAACAACGATTTCAGTTAATTATTTTCATGGACTCAATTATCTAATTGAACTATACAATGAATTTTAAAATCAATCACGAATACTCAGTACTCAGTTATTTTAGGTTAGCTCTGAGTATTTTTTTAAATCAACGTCACAGATGTATTTAAATTTGATAAGTATATTTTTATGTATTTGCCACAATATTAATTATTCACTCTCTTATTATGTAATTTAATGAACTCGTTCGTTTAATTTTATTTGGTAGTAATTTCCAAATGTTTCCTATATGACGGTTTATTTAACAGTCAGTTTACTTTACTTCTGGCTATAATTTTAGAATGTATATTATACACAATGTATACCTATTACAGATGGATTATACGCGTATATATAATAAAAACCATTATATATATATAATGGTTCTTATTACAGCATTACGAATGTTAGATTTTTCTCAATACTGTTTTCTTTACAAAATATGTGAAATAAAGTAAATGTACCGATTCAAATTAGAATTATGTTATTAACGATTATTATTATTTCTTATTTGTTTTACAATGAATGTGCCATCGTATTCTTTGTATTTATGTTATCTACTTATTGATTTGTAACATATATTACACACATTTGTTACAAACTCAATAAGTAGATTAAAGCCATTATGTGATTTAAATTTTAGTACTGCCTATATATAATTATATGTAGTCACAGAAACATAAAGGAGTTTACTAAGTAAATATTTGCAATGGATAGCTTCGTTACACACAAAGAGAAGTCTAAAATTTTGCAGTTTCATGATTGTTATATTATCACATGAGTTACAATTATAAAACGATTTTTTTTTAATTAAATTAAATGTAAAAATGTCTTGTCATGTTTCGGAGCTATTTGTATTATTTGTTTGTTAAAAATATATATTTCAGAACACATTGAAGAAAACTACAAATACAAAAATAGTGCCATAGTATTACGTATGCATATGTAATCCAAATAGTAAAGGTTGGAGTGCATTTCCTTTCAAACAAAGCTAGTCATAACATAATTATTACGTTGAATGTTATAATTAATAAATAATTTATTCATAAGTTAAAGTTATTGTAATCCTAATTATTATTATTTATATTTTAAATAAACAAAAACTACTAATCACTGTATGTTAGTTTCTATTATATGTATAATCATATAATGTTCCTCAAAGTGTATTTCCAAATATGTTATTAATGTTTGATTAATTAATCCGTAAAAAATATCCGGATAAGACTGTTTGTATATGAATGAAACGATAATACGTAATGAAGTTATTAATATACCATTAATATATATACATAAATAAGGTCAACCGTGTAATATCTACTAATTATATCGATTATGTCGTAATTGTATGCATTCGATTTTTTTTATGTCACTGTTTTATAAGTTTGTAAATTGAAAAGCCACAAAATTTACGATTTCACGACAATAATTAGTATTATAAAGTGACCTATGTTTTATTACGGCCTAGTATAAAGACATCGTTTAATTTTAAAATTTATTACGAAATAGCATCGAATCTTTGTTTATCCTTAACTTAGTGTTAACTGTTAATTTGTGTAAAATGTAACTTATTTAGTTAATTTAGTATACAAGTGTGTAACTATGTATTATAATATTGTTAAATGTTGATGCGGATTTTAAGTGAAGGACAATTAAAAGTGATGTATATTTGTCTATTTTGCGAAACATGACGTTAAATAAACAAGCTTTATAAATATTATGTTTTCATTTACTTTTACCAACCCAAAACAGTGTTGTCTACCTCGACCCGAAACCAAACTTAGTAGTTTAGTCGAGATATGGTAAGAACCAGAGACACTTTGGCATTTATAATTTTAATATAAAAATTAATTAAGTATGAAATTATATAATATACAAATCTCTTTTGATACTCATCAAGTTATAATGAGTTACAAACAATATTCCAAGTACGAAAAATTAATTCTTGTAATAAGCGTACATAATGTAACGGCAAATAATTTTTGAATCAAGAATTAATGTTATGCCTCTACCCCGGCTTATACCGCCGTCTCAATTGGCATTTCCAATAATAACAGAGGGAGCGGAATGGGCGGAATGAGGGTGGCGGAATTTCCGTATTCGCTCGTGGACTAATCTCCCGGAATTCCGGATGAATGCGGAGAGATTCAGATCGTCACTATCTGCCAGTCGCGATCTCAGACCCGATCGGGAATTAAAATATTTTTTTATTACCATGTCTACATATTTATCATGGCAGATGAGGTGCTTCAAGAGGGTCTTCAAATCTGAATAATATTGAGAAATGGAAGGAAGAGCGTCGACAGTACATTACAGTCAGAGTAATATTTGTTAATAAAATAATGAGGGTTGCGTGTTAGTTAATTGAATTTTCACAACACATTAATAGATCGTTTTTATTTTATTCGACCCTATTTTCCTCTCTCTGTGTGTGTAAACGTGTAATTTAATTTCTGTACATAATGCTTTATACCTATAATATATGAACACAGTACTAAATTGGTTTTTTTTTTAATAATGAAAATAACGTAAAATTTGGAGCAATTTTTAATAATTTATTTATATTATTCAAAATTGAAATTTTAACTAGCCATATCATTTTACTAAAGTTTCCATTTTATAGATTTTGAGTAAATGACATGATTAATACTATATATGTATAATATATTGTTTATATTAGGTATACGGAATGCAGATTGGTAGTGTAATATTTCTTTCTAAGTAGTATTCAGTTTCTTGTAGAAGCATGTCCCCAACGATACAATATTGCTTGGAGAATTTCCGTAAAGGATGCTCAGGCATGTCGAAAACAGCTTTAGAATGTAGTGAAGGAGACGTGAAAGGGTTTGCAATATCGAACAAAATTTAAGGACGATTCAAATATATAATGTCGACAGGAGGGACATTCGTTTTGATTTAAAACGCCAATTTTCGCACAATATTATATTACTGGGTCCTATTTTATTAGTTTCTATAAATAGGTGTTATGACTAATATATTTTAGTTTTCTATAATTGAATAAGTTTAAATCGTAGTCTATAAAATAAAAGAAGAAGAATGATAGAAGCATGGTATCTCTCAAGCATTGCCATTATGAAGGCATTTCATCTTCTAAGATGTAATATCTTCAGGTCCTTTAAATTAACTGCCATATCTCACCCTTCAATCGAAGCACATTATACGAGGCAAGCCGTTTGACGGCGAAAACAGTTGGTACAAAAGTACCCACGCTTTTGCGTGCACTTTCTACAAAGTCTACTGGTACTGAATCATTACTATTAAATTACAAAACCAGTTAAAATACTGTATATAGTCAATAATCCGGCTTACAATAATAATTACATTAGTTGTGATAAAAAGTATTCAGAGGTTGTCAACCCAAAAAGGATGTTAT